GCAGGCCTTCAAGGACATCGAGATCGGAGAGGGTGAGGAGAGGGGGAGGGAGAGAGTAGGGCAGGAGTAGGGTACTCGTCTGGGAGCAGGCGTTCAGGGACATCGAGATCGGAGGGGGGGAGGAGAGGGGGAGGGGGAGAGTAGGGCAGGAGTAGGATACTCATGTGGGAGCAGGCCTTCAAGGACATCGAGATCGGAGAGGGTGAGGAGAGGGGGAGGGAGAGAGTAGGGCAGGAGTAGGGTATTCGTCTGGGAGCAGGCCTTCAGGGACATCGAGATCGGAGAGAGTGAGGAGAGGGGGAGGGAGAGAGTAGGGCAGGAGTAGGGTACTCGTCTGGGAGCAGGCGTTCAAGGACATCGAGATCGGAGAGGGTGAGGAGAGGGGGAGGGTGAGAGTAGGGCAGGAGTAGGGTACTCGTCTGGGAGCAGGCGTTCAAGGACATCGAGATGGGAGAGGGTGAGGAGAGGGGGAGGGAGAGAGTAGGGCAGGAGTAGGGTACTCGTCTGGGAGCAGGCGTTCAAGGACATCGAGATGGGAGAGGGTGAGGACAGTGGGAGGGAGAGTAGGAGATGAGTAGGATGCTTCAAGGACATATAGATCTGATTTATTTCCCCTTTTGATTTTCTATTTCAATAAAGTGGGTCAAACGACTAGACTTTCCTTTCTTCCTTCTCTCTCTCACTCCAGGGTTCATCCCGGTGTGCAGCCTGGGCCTCTCCCAGGTGGGCCGGATCAATCTGGGCCAGGATGTCAGCAGCCTGCGCTACTTCACCATCTGTGGCCTGCAGGAAGGCTTTGAGCCCTTCGCCATCAACATGAAGAGAGACATCACCATGTGGTTCAGCAAGAGCCTGCCGCAGTTCAACCCTGTGCCCACCGATCACCACGTGGAGGTGCTCTACACACACACACACTGGGGGAAGAGGCAGACTAAACTAGCAGGAAAGGAAAGAGGGAGCAAAAGATTGAGGGGTGGAAAGCAGGAGCTGCACTGTACATGTGAAAGGAAAGAGGGAATGAGGAGGAAAGAAAATAATAATTATAATTAATAATTGCTTACACGTATATAGCGCTTTTCTGGACACTCCACTCAAAGCACTTCACAGGTAATGGGGATCCCCTCCACCACCACCAATGTGCAGTATCCACCTACTGTAGATGATGCGACAGCAGCCATAGTGCACCAGTACTCTCCCCACACACCAGCTCTCAGTGGGAGGAGAGCAGAGTGATGAAGCCAGTTCAGAGATGGGGATTATTAGGAGGCCATGATTGGTAAGGGCCAGGGGGAAATTTGGCCAGAATGGCGGGGTTACGCCCCTACTCTTTTCGAGAAACACCCTGTGATTTTTAATGACCACAGAGAGTCAGGAACTCGGTTTTAGCGTCTCATCCAAAGGATGGCGCCTGTTCACAGTATAGTGTCCCTTTCACTTTACTGGAGCATTAGGACCCGCATGGACCGCAGGGTGAGCGCCCCCTGCTGGCCCCACTAACACCTTTTCCAGCAGCAACCTTAGCTTTCCCAGGAGTCTCCCCTCCAGGTACTGATCAGGCTCACACCTGCTGAGCTCCAGTGGGCTGCCAGTTGTGAGTTGCAGAGTGATATGGCTGCTGACAGCCATCAAATAACAAAGGGATGGAGGCATACAGCTGTATATACTGTAGAAGGAGTTTCATTTTTAATACTTGCCTTTCTGCTTTCCTCTGTTCTCCCTCTGACTTTTTCTCCTTTTGCCTTGCTTCCCTTTGTCCTTCTCTTCTCTCCACCTTTGCTCCTGACCTCCTACCTCCTCTTCCTCCCCCTGTTCCTGCTGCCTCCTCCTCTTTCCTGATAGGTGTCCCGAGTGGACGGCACAGTGGAGAGCCCTCCCTGCCTGAAGGTCACCCACCGAACGTTCGGCTCCCAGAACGCCAACACCGACATGTTCTTCATGCGGCTCAGCATGCCCGTGGAGTTCCACGAGACCTTCAGGGTGCCCGCGGGGACGACCCCGCTGACCCACCCCCTCACCAATCCCGAGGAGGAGGTGCAGGAGGTGGACCCCGACTCCGAGTTCGAGCAGCTCAAGAAGTCCGCCAGCCGGAAGGAGGCCGAGGGGACGGAGAAGGAGCCCTCCCAGCCGCGGGAGATTCCAGGGAAGGAGAAGGAGAGCGCGGGGAAGGGGGGAGGGGAGAACGAGAAGGACGCAGCCTCAGAGAAGGGCAAGAAGAGAGGGTGAGGGCTGTTTGTGTTTTCCGCTGGTCCTGCTTTGTGCTGCTACGTTGGCTATGCGATTACTGAAGAGGGCATTTTCCCGAGCTGAGAGAACGGATTTCCATCCTATTCTCCTTTTTTCTTCAGCACGTCTTCACCATTCTTGTTCTCTTTTAGTCTCTCTCTCCTATCACTTCCCTTTTATATTGGCAGTCAAGAATGTTCAACAGTGTCTGTATTTTAATCCCTGGTGAACTGCAAAGTGCAGGTTGAGTGCTGTTATTAGAGACTGGTGATCACTCTTTCACCCTCTTTCATCCCTTCTTCTCTCCCACTATCACTCTCTCCCTCTGGAGACTCTCTCGCTATCTCCCTAAGCCACTTTCTCATCATTTCCTCACCCTCAGCCTCTCTCTCTGTC